ACACGTTCCCGCCGTCCGGACTTTCACCAAGGAACTCTCACAGACGATAAGTTCCTCATTTGACTTGCTCCCATTTTGCATTGTATTTATTTTTATACGTGTGACATCTCACCATTGTCAACTATACTAAAAACTTTTATTAGTGCATATACCTTCTGAATTGTATTATGGTCATCAACAGTGCACTGATAAGTCCAACACCCCACAGTTAACGTGGAATAGTTACAGTCAGTATACACAGTGAAAGTACGGGGTGCTAAAGTACCTCTGTATAATGCACCGAACTGAAGCTACGTCATGTTACCAGCACCACTGGAAGCCGTACCACGCCAACTAACACTTCAGCTATGCCACAAGTGACCACATACAGCAGAATCAATTAGCGAGAGTTGGGCAGCCCGAACAGAATCAACGACTCCACATTAGTTACAACCCTCTTCGCACCCTTGGCCATTTGAGGCTATCTCCGTAATTTATTCTGCCTCACCATGTTTAACATGTGAACCGGATTTAGTTGCCTCTTGTAACGTATATGAACGACTGTCTCAGTGGAGCCGCTAAAACCACTGTACAAGTACGAGGCTCTTACAGATGATGATGATGATGATGATGACTGTCTGGGTCGATGCTCTACTTCAAGAGGCCAGTAACGTTATATAATTGAGGTTCTGGATGGACGCAGTTTCCAAGCAAGTCTAAAGTACTCTACTGACTAAGCATATATCGATTGGTTACAATCATGTCTAAAAAGCTCTTTCTTAAAATTCATGTCGGAGGTTGGTTGTAAGGCTACAATGTCTTGGGACTAGGACCTGGATCACTTGCTGGCTTTCAAAGCGATAAGGCGACGCCTGTTCCATTTTCAGGGATTACTGGCAACATTCCAGATGCTCATACATAAGAAGAGCAGCTAACGGTAACAGATCCTGTTTTCAGTGACGTAAGGCACGCATAGTAATGAGGAACGGTGTGTGGTGTCGTCCGACTAATGGCCACAGCTCAGTCCGTTTTCACACATAGTTTCCTTGTGTTTCAGAGAAGGAGAATGAAACGTATAAGCTGGAATATACTTATGTCAGAATTTTACCAGCTAACTTGGAAAAAAGTCAGAGGAGACAAGCATCAGTCAGAGCCCAACTGCTGTTGATTTGTCGTTTCTAAGGGGTCCGTCGGTTTTCACGAGAAAGCATGGAACGGATAGCTACAAGACTGATAAAGTACATTAACCTTTGGGGGTGAACTTGTCAGAATGAGATTATGTCAATGGAACGGTATTTAATGTCGGCGATTTAATGGTTTATTCTGTGCGGAGAGAGGGCCTTACACCATACTCAGTTGAAATCCAGGTGTGCCCGTCAAAGCACCCTTAGCCAACGTAGTTGCGGCTGTTAACAGTAAAATGCGTAGAGGTGACTTCAAGTGAATCTACCACATCTGTCTCCCTTAAGAGGGATAACTAGGCCTTGTACTACGCAACACTTACTGAAAAGCAGGCATTAAATCACACAAAATAGCAGCCACTTCCTTTCGTTTGTGACTGTGAAATAGAGCAATATACCTTTAGGACAGAAAACGTTACAAGAAGGAAGTTTTCCAAAAACGCAAGTTGAGGCGCTGGTAATTCACGTTGAAAAAATACAGAAGGATCGTATAAAACTCACCGATTGAAAATGCCCAAATGGCTCAGCACCGCTGCCAGGGTCGAGTCGTGCGCGAAATAGGCGATCAACCGTTGACCGGAACCAACTACTTCCAGTCCAGACGTGGGAGCAACTAATGGCAGAGGCTTCGCAAGTTTCTTCTGCTCAGCTGACGAACTACGCGACAACTCAAGGTTAGCCCGCGTGCGAAATAGACGGAGCATATGTGCTACCAGAGGACCTCCACGAAGTCGAGTAAGAGCTGGGGTGGAGAACCGAATGTAGTGTTTGAAATCAAGCATCCTGGCGCATTGTTGTGCTATCTCACTGGTCAACCAATGAGGCCATGGTAACTGATGCAAAACCCAGACGCCCACAGGGTCGCAAATCTTCCATCCGACGCGAAGCCGACCAACGGGTGTGGGGTTCTCAGGGAACATGACAGCTATTTGTGCAAGAGAAAATGAATTAAAGTTAACAAAACATTTGGCGTTAAGATACAGTGCGTCTGAGAGCTGGGGCCATGGTGCCCGGCTGGACAGATATAACTTACATCCTAGACGAACAACCGAAATTCGTAAAAAAAATCAACCTATGCTTTCTTCATAATTGCACTCAACATTGGATCACAGGCTGTGCAGGGGTTATACGAAACCCATAGAATATCGATGAGTACTCTGTAGAGCGTAAACCTCGCGTTAAAAAAAGAGACGCAATAGTTTGTCGCTAGAAATCAGCTCCCATGGACAGTGATACTGTGAGGACTAACAAGCAAAGCTGAAATGGGAGTTCGCTTGTCCACCTTGGTATAACAACAAACTCTGGAAAAATTCCATCCCTTTCGATGGTGTTTCTTTGGAAGCCGAATGACCAAACGTTATTTTAGGAAATAACTTCAGCCAGTCTAAATAGCTGAAGACATTTCGAAACCTCTGGCATATTCTGGACACAAAAGTCATGGAATTTACGACAAGGACTGATAGTTTTAATGATGGAATGTGCTATATCTGCTGATTCGCCAATCTGAGGTATCTGCTGCCGACCCGCTCCAGTGCCTAGTGCCGGAGAAAAAAGGCTCACAGAAGGGAACACAACAGCTATATTCCGAACAAGCGAGTGTGAGAGCGTGCGTGCGTGCGAGTGCGAAAAGTACAACGGTCTCAAGCTATTTATTGGAAGGACACTACCTGAACTTGGTCCAATGCTGACGCACACGGTCTGGCTTTGGTACGAGGCTGTGACGTGCTGCATATTGCGGGGGCGTTGTCTGACCTTGATCAACGCTGACCCGCGCTGTCTGGGTTCGATACAAGGCTGTGACACGCTGCATGTTGAGGGGGTGTTGTCTGTCTGGTCAACATCTAGCGGAACTGAGAGTGTCGGTGGATTTCGGGCATTCAGTGGTTGCTTTCAGGAAGCTGACCTTCCTGATAGAATGTCTGTTTGAAGACTAGTCTCGGCACCGACTCAGCGGCGCCAAACTCATGAAGTCAAAATGTCCGGAAACCCTCAAGTCATAGTGGGTGATATTTTCATCAGAATCGGATACATGTAATGCCTTCCCCATGTGCTACATCACGTGAATGATGAACTGAGATCCTGTAACCACATATGCAATTAACTCGGGTTGCAGTCCTAGTCTTCACGTGGTGTTCATCAATACCTATTCCGTCCCACGTCGGGAACAGGACCAAAGTGCATCGGTAGTTCATTTATTGAAGCCGAGTTACAATAAATACTATCAATGGGAAGAACAAACCGTCAGCTTAGTTTTACATAATATTGTTTGAAATGGAATATCAAACCAAGGAAACCAACGATAGGGTGCCGACGGAAAGCAGTCATCGAAAAGTGGATTTTGTCATCTTGCATTTGAATCTACTTCAACTGATTTTGTCCAACTAATCGATTTTTACCCAGCATTTGGGTAGAATTGGCAATAGCGAAAAACAAGCAAAATCCCAGTGATATTTCAAACAGCTTGTCGCCAATTGGGACATGCATCTCCGTGAAACGCCTCGAATTTCAGAATATAACCGGTATTCAGAGGACTGTCGTAATGTTCTGAAGTTGCTCGGTACAAAGCATTTGACTTTATGTAAGAGAGGTGTTGCAGGAGATGAATATAAGGACACGCCCCTGCTCTAACAAAAACCAAGTTGATTCAGTATAGCCAACAGGATTAATCGACCAGGAACAGTGATGAAATTTTTAAAACTATTTTCAATCACTTGTAGACACGACCGCATTCAAGTCATGGGTCATAATTCGGATGAAAAGCTTTGTGTCCCGGAGATTTGGGGATCCGAACTCTTAAAGTACACGCTGACTGCCCTTCATAGAGGATAGTGCAAGTGAGCAAAACCGCTGTGTATGGAAAACTTTCGGAGGAGAAGCTAGTCCTCTTGAAAAATGAACAGGCCTGGAACGTCAGTGTAGTCCGTGACGTTTCCCATAGCCTTAGCTCACTATTGGATTTTATCACCTATGGTTGGACTGGAGTGATTTGTCCAGAAAAATGGATGCAAATAATTGAACCTACTGGCTTCATTAGCTGCATGTCGAAACGTTCTTCATTTTCAAGGTCAAGGCCATAACCAAACAGCTAATAACATCCCACGGTATTCTTCCAATAGCGTTCATTAGTAAAGCGCGTAGTCTGTTCAGTAAGTTTATTACGTAATGCGTGAATGTCCAATTAATAGGAGGAAAGTTGGTGTGCGAGCCTGTTGGGCTTGTATCTGGTGAGTGGATTCAGCTTCACTTCCGTAGATCGAATCATGTGCCTCTAACCATCATCATCATCATCATCGGCTGTATGAACCGCGTACTTGCCTTACATTGCTTCTAGTTACCATCATCATCATTGACAGCCTGACATCAGTGTTCAACACCGATACCTTACTGCCGTATAACCATTAGAGGCGATAACTGATAAACAGGGCTGTCATTGGACTTTTTATTGGGGAGATTAGGAGGGAAGCTATGCACTGAAGACAAAAGCTTGGATGCAAGAGCGTCAATGAGGGCGCGACTGGGCCATCTTGACAATGTTTCTAACCGTTGATGTCTCGGAGTCCCCATCCAGGGAGACGGTGATGACCAACCCAGCGGAGTTTGCTGGTAATGGCTTTCGTACTTCACTGCCAAGTCATTGTTCGACCTCTCCTGACGCGTTTGAGCCAAGTTAGCACCTTTTTTAAGTTCCAAAGATGATTGAAAGTCTCTCTGAGCCCTACCCGGCTATTGGGAAAACAACAACATATCGAAGGAATACATTCAACTCCTGTAGCTTTCTCCAGAAGATACAATGAACACGTTAATTGGTACAAGTCTGCCTTTTATAAGAAATACGTACTCGGCACTTTAGTCGAAATCAACCAGGGTAGTGACCTACCAGTTGCCGGTCAAATGAGTTGAAACTACTTGCATACCAGCCCTACGTACGTCTGGCGACCTTTCCCCGTTGCGGCGTACTCTTTAAATTATTTCGAAGAGGTTCTCAGGGCATCGATTTACGGGGATTCCTTTGGGTGTGAAGTGCACTAGCGTCAGTTTGAACAATCAACTGAACTAGTCATGCAATGTACCAAGCAGAGACAGAAACGGAACCACAACACTCTATCTGAGGGGCCCAACGCCACGGCGTTAACAAGTTCATGCAAGAGGAAAAGTAGGTGTCACCCTGCGAGGAGACTTAATCAGTATGCTCGATCAGGGTTCGGTGTTCATCTAACTGAGGGGTATTGTAGGGGAAACAATCAGGTATTGTGCTCTACAATTGATTTTAACAACTATTTCGAAACACGTACATTACTAGAACGAACGTTACTTGAACCAAGGCGTATCGACCGCTGCGTCTAGCCAATGGTGAAAAAGTCTGTTGTTACAGCATGATTGGCGCAAGACTTGTAGACCGGAAATCAACCAACCAGAACTGAGGCTGAACAGTCGCAGTGTTCATGCGGCCTAAATGTGACATTCATAGTCGCCTATCCAATGAATCCTTGGCCAATTTGGTTCAAACATCCAGAAGTACCCATGATCTACGACCTATACGCTCATTTGCACACCAATTCGGCTTGGACGGGAGACTCGCCTGGAACCTACCTGAATCTCTGTTTTATGATGTTTTTTAAGCAACCGAATATGCTGCACCAGGCCGCCTCATGTTTCAGTTGGTACGATATTCGACACATCACAATATCTTGAATAGACGTAATACACTACTCATAAGGTTACTGGAAACTTCGACAGCTCACGACGGGTCGCGGCCTGGGGGGTGGGATAAAGTCAATACCAAAAAACAAATTCCAAGATTATCCAGAGTTAAGAAAAAGCTGAAATAGATATCTTTGTTGTGCACATCTCCCCATCTGTATAGGATCTTGGGGAGCTATTGTGGTTGGTCGAATATGAAAAACAAACGATCTGTTAACATGCACCATTGTCTGAAAAGGTAATAACTTACAGAAACGTTGTTGAAAGTGGTTCAAAGTCTCCGAAAACTGCTCTGCCAAAAGAGTGACCTCAGGTGATTCCATAAAGTTTTGATACGAAGTGATAAACTGCGTGCAATTGCTGGACATTTTTAACAAATGATCGATGTCCAAGGGAATAGAGTAGACTGGAGGATAACCAACAGTGGTCGACTCTTGATCGTATAGCCCCCGAATAAAACTGTAGGCTGACATTAGAGTTCGATTGGTTGCGGAACTGCGGAAGAAAGATTCGTCCTATAATGTAAGATACAGCATCAAACTGTTCAGCACAAACGAACTTGCCGGAAGATAAGTGGTTGAAAGTAGATCCGGATAAGACTGTCGAATAAACTTCCCGAGGAACCTGAGCTGTTCTGAGCCATATTGGGTCAATTCTCCATAACCCTGAGTCCACAGGTTTTTATGAGGATCATTGGGAAGCTTATGTACAGGAGTTCGATCGCCATGTCGAACGAGAATAAAGACCAGGATCGGCTTTGGGTCGGCTGTTTCCAAAGTCTTGTCAGAACGCAAGGGCGCAACAAGCAAGGTGAGTATGAGGTACGAAAGACAAGACGACATGATATATTCTGTTGGTTACTCCAGAGCATCAGATAGGGACGTTTTCAGCCTGCAATGTAAAATGACCATAGTTACTAAAAGTGGATGTTCGCACACAGGACTGAACAGAACATGACAAGCTGAAGTCCTTCGAGATGATAACAGATGAGTGAAGCAAGTTTATTGAATAGAGGTTAGTTTCTCTTATCTTCGACACCATCTTCACCCGCTTTGATATCCAAGAAGCACATTGAGTGTCCTAGTCTACAACCTTATAAAAGTTACAACAGTCCCCTCCAAGGAAACACACTGTCGGGACCGGTCAAAATCGTACATCATTCTGGCAGGAATCAGGCTGAACTACAAAGCAAGTATTGCAGCCTGTTGATAGTGCACCGTTATGCTAGATGTTCAAACGGAGTATAACTATGAAAAAAGCTTGTGATTTATCAATTTCAGATAGTTTTGTTTTCCAACAACTACCACAGGGTGACAAATAGTCCCCAAAGGTACAAAATGGACTGAAACGCTCTACCAGATGCGTTAGCACAGGTGAAAACAGATCGAGTGGTAGCAAACCTATGGAGTCTCTACTCATGTTCAGTACGTTTCTCAACGTTTCTATGTTGTCTTCATTCCCAACGATCTCTGGGGAACGGAACTTTCTGCTTTCGTATGCTGCAGAGGTACTAGTTCAAACAATCAAGAATGAAGCCCAACTATGGATCCACGACCCTCCAAAGTGACTCCAATTTATAAGCAGAATGAACTCGTCACTGGCCGAAAAGTAGTAGTTGCACCACAATTTGTCGTGGGGCTTGTCTATGAAGCAACAGAGTATATTGATGAAATACTAATCGTGATTTGTATAATACCATAACAATGTCACATGTAAAATTAATAAGACCCTTCCAGGTATTCCAGTATAGGAATAGTATGCTATCGATGTCGAATACAAACGTCTAATCCCACAATCGACATAAGGTGAACGATGTTCGGTGCAGTTCAAACTAAACACGACTCATTTATGACGGACGATCCAGAATTACTATATCTATTCTGGACTTACGTAAAAGTGATCCATCAATCAGACCAACCATCTTTTGTCCGCCTGACCTCGCGCAGAAATTAGACTATCCCAGATTCGTGTTTTCAAAGCATCGTAGTTCTCTGCTTTTCTACAGGACCAGAAAACACGAACAGCAAAACCGCTAGTCCACGGTCCTCCAAAACATTCTCACATCAATCAAAAGAATATCCTAATAATGATACTCTTACCGGATGCACGGCAACATAAAAGCCTACATGTTATGTCTACGACCATGAGTGGAGGAACCAAACAAGTGCCACTCGTCCGCCACCCACAGACAGTTAACAGACCACGAAAGCCACCTCTCATAGTACTGGGATCAACAAGAAAGGCGAGCATTAAAGCTACCATAGATAGATGCTTCCATTGAGCGGCTAAACAATAAACTCTCCGCATTGCCAGCGCGGATGGCAATGTGGGTTGTGACCAGGATGACACAACGACCTATTTCCAAGTGACAGTATCTTTATAGAAAGCAAAGAAACCTGACTTTTGCGTCGTACCTAGTCGCCCTGTCACTTCAGTCAAGTGTGGAGACTGAACTAGCGTGAAATACACCGGTATCGTTCGATTAAACAGAAGAATATCAGCATGCGCCTGTATAGCAGTTCCAAACCATCAGCCTTGCAAAATCAGGTATACCGAAAGAAAACCATTCACTAAGGCAGCATCACACAGTTTCGTCAATGGACCGCACACATCAACTATGTCAAATTAGAATTTCCAGCTAGTCGCGACTTTGATTGAAAACAGGTCAGAAGCGCTTAAGAAGGTAAACGTGGCCGTTCGGCTGCGGCATCCTTTCGGCACATAAATGCTATGCAGACTGAGCGAAGTATGGTGGCTGGGACACTGCCAAATGGCCAAAGCCCATACAGAAGAGGAGTATCAAGTCTTCGGGTAGAAACTCATCAACGAGTTTAGCTTTTCTGCGATGACGTCTTACGAAAAGCTGGCAGTATAATATAGGCCCTTACCACACCCTTGTTAAATAACACATATAAAGCGGCTCATGTCACATAAACAGGACCGCAGGCGGTTAACAACATGAGCGTGCCGTTTGGTTGAGTGTGGTTCCCATAGCGGAAACCTGTCAGTTGTCGTACGATCCTGGTATGGCTCGACAATCAGGCTGCTGTATGAACAGGGGTAGTGACGAGAGTAGAAGTAAGATTGGCTGTTCGATGACTACAAGACATCCAGGTTTTATAAATGATGAAAAAACAGGGACACTTTAGATTTGTCCTGACTTAACGTTTAGTAGTCACATCGATTCGTTGATGGGTACTCGATAATGGACATTAGCCGCACTAGCACGTACTTGCCTCGATGCCTCGTATATGCACTCCCCATGAATCTATACATGTCGCTTACTGGTTCAGATGGAGTACTAGGCCAGCGGACACAGACAGGCATTGACAAGGATATTCCGCCAGATGTAGTAGGCCGTTATCCCGTTACTGGACCATACAACGGAACTTTCGCAAGCCCGAAAACCACTACGATTGACAACATTGAAAACCGTTAACGTAGTGAATGCAGACACGCTGTCGTACATCCCAAGAATCGATCATAACAGAGAGCAGTGATGATAGTGAGCATGCTGTCCAAGGTGATACGACCACTAGTGCCGGTTGGCAACGCTGAACTTACTGGACTGGCTAGACTATCGAGAGATGCCGATTGTTTTGAATATATAGATCAAGTTAAAGATGAAAGCAGGCTGCTCACAATTCAACCCTTAAGGAAGACAATCTAAGGGTTTTGGGTTTACCAATAAGACAGACAGCGAGACGCCAATATTTTACCCAATTTGCTCAGTTTCAAGTGTTAAATATCCTAAATTGAGGGGTTGACAAACGTAATAACAAGTAGAACAGAAACTTAGAAACTCCACCCACCCACGGAGTCGGTCGCGGGTTACCGAGGAACTCGGCAACCTTATGAATAATGTATTTGACGGAGAAACTAATAATGGAGTCACAAAGCCACAATGAGAGAGAGAAGGTGGGACACTATTTGTTCTATGTCTGAGTGCATAATTTCGGTTGCCGTACTCCGATCAGTATCACTCGACGGAAAGCATATCCTTGGGTTCTGACTGCATAGGACCACTATGAAATCACCGGCACTGAAAGCTTCACAGATGACGGCTTCCAACCAGGAGCACAAAGCTCTCGAATCGAATTCAGGAAAGATCCAAAGTCACGAAAAATTCAGAAAATTTACATGGAAAGGGTTTTTGCGGCAATCATATCGAACAAATTCACAATCTTGGTGTTTATATCAACCTACAAAAGGGAAATGCAAGCCAATTCATCTGACCTCTTGAAATCAGAACTTCATCTGATGCAATCGAGTTTGCCATAAGCAAGCCGAGCAGGTAGGGCCGTCTGAGAAACTATACTGTTGGGCCTTTGACAATCGAATGCTCCTTCGGTTTCAGCGAAGCAAAGTGTTGGGACATTCACCACCATCTCCTTCGACCCTTTTACTTGAAAAAAAAACAACTGCACCCGAATTGGCATTCTTGTTGTAACAGTTTGCTCGCTAAAAGACGTGACAATACCAGTGCGTCGGAGTGGTCCAGTGCCACACACACAACTACCCACCGGTTATTTTAGTTAAGTCGTTCAGCTGTGGCACCCTTTCCGTGATTAACTGCCATGCTACCAGAAGGAGGCACGAGGGCTGGAATAATGCTAGGTTGCCCGGGCCTATAGAGGGAAAGTCAAAAGGAAGTGGTGGGGTTCGAACCACGGACCTTCCGGTCAGTAATTTCAGGCTTTAACCACTTAGCCATCTCATCCTATATCAGTCAGATTTGTGATGAAACCATCGCAACGAAATCACCAACCGAGCAACTCGAATCGCTAGCATCCGCAGTTATGGAGGTCACTGCGAAAACAGGCGTTTCATGAAGACAACTCTGTGAAAAAAGTTGGTCAGTAACCTCGGTTGAGTTTCGCAAATTTAACCAAACTCGGTTTTAGATGAAAGTGGTTCTGCATTCTAGGACACGTGTTCCAGGACATCCGGAGAAAGGCACAACACCACAGAAACCGCACAGCACCACATCAGTATAAGCAGCCACTACGAGGGCACCTCATTACATTTTAAAAACCCCAATTCGCTACACCATATGATCCAGGATCACATTTCTCGACTTCCTCCACACTTCACATGTGACCAAGGCAACGGTCACCATATTCACGTGGTGTTTGTTAATATTTGGCCTCGACATTCGGATCAATAAACGGACGAACAGAGTTGCATCGGTATTCCATTGGTAAGTAAACAAAATACAAATCGTCAGCATGTCACAAATAAAAGAGAAGTATTAGAAGACAGTGGCGAAGTAAACTTATTCCAAAAGTTCCAAGTGCCAGTGATTGACCGACTGACGACAATGTACTTATATTTCTGGTGTATCTGGGTCTTACGTTAGTATAGGATTCAAAGTTTGATTGGTCGCCAATGGTAGCTGGGCCCTGGCAGTAGTACATCATTAATTGTTCGTTCAGCTGTAACACCCTTTCGGTGCCCAACTGCCATGCCACCCGAAGGTTGCACGAGGGCTGGAATACTGTCATGTTGCCCAAGC